TGCATTTATATCATAAAAGAATTGGTTCGTTTGCAAAAAAGAAAATCTATACTTGCTGGCTAATGAAGAGTGTGAGAAGGTTCAAAATTCACATGTGGACCTTAGGAGCACAAAAAATAACTCAAATTTAGAAGTTATAAAAAATGAAAAAAAAGTAAATAATTCCACCTTTCATTTATTTGTCGAAAATAGGCATATTTAAAGAAATCTGTTAACTTCTTAACGGTGACTCAAAACTTGTACACATGTAGAAAAGTGAGATAATTACTGATAAATTTTTGCAAAATTTATCCAAAATAATTCTATCTTTTCGTGTTCTTCAAAAAATAATCACCTTTTTTGCTCTCATGGGAAATAATCGTACCTTTCTGAATGTTTGCGAGTTTTGGATTTCCGTTAAAAAGATAATGGTTATTTAACAGATCTTTTAAAAAATACATGTCTTTCGTACATAAATGAAAGATGAGATTATTTTAGGTAAATTCTTTTTTTTGATAAATAAATACCAAATTTATTTTTTTAAAAATTATTTTTTGAGTAAATTCCCAAAATAGTCCTTTGTAATAAGGTGTTTTCCCAAATTAGTCCTCAATAAGTTTTAATTACCTACGTGGTCCTCTATAATTGAGATTTATTCCCAAAACAGTCCTTTGTAATAAGGTGTTTTTCCAAATCAGTCCTCAATAAGTTTTAATTTCCTACGTGGTCTTCTATAATTGAGATTTATTCCCAAGATGGTCTTTCGTAAATAATATTATTAAAATGAGGATTAATTGAGGGTATTTTTTATCCGCTAAATTTAGAATTAATTCTTAAAATAATCATTTATAATGAAGTGCTTTCCCAGAATGGTTTTTCTAATTAAAGATGTGTATTTGATTGGAAATTTAGAAGATTTTTTTAAGTTTTAAATAATTCATAAATTATTTATAGTCAATGTATTTTTTAAATTTTACATTTAGTTGTACAAAAATGATTATTTCGAGAATATACTTTAAATTTGGATGATTAAAATACCAGAATATCTCCCAATTAATCCTCATTTGAGGACTGATTTGGGATAACACCTTATTACATAGAGATAAACCAAATGCATTTATAAAACTTAAAAAAATATTTTAAATTTCAAATCAAATACACATCTTTAATTAGAAAAACCATTTTGGGAAAGCACTTCATTATAAATGATTATTTTAAGAATTGATTCTAAATTTAGCACAGAAAAATACCCTCAATTAATCCTCATTTGAGTAACATTATTTACGAAGAACCATCTTGGGAATAAATCTCAATTATAGAGGACCACATAGGTAATTAAAACTTATTGAGGACTGATTTGGGAAAACACCTTATTACAAAGGACTATTTTGGGAATAAATCTCAATTATAGAGGACCACGTAGGTAATTAAAACTTATTGAGGACTGATTTGGGAAAACACCTTATTACAAAGGACTATTTTGGGAATTTACTCTTATTTTTTATACTCCTTTTGGTCATAAAAACCCTTTTTATTTTGATTTTTTGATGAAATATTGACATTCTTTGACCATAAATTATGAGAAAAGTATATTGAATTATAATATAATTTTAATATAATTGGATTCATCTTAAGATTTAGTTTTTATATCAAAATTTTATAATATTTATTTATTTAGATTATGTCCAAACTTAAACTTCTCTAAATAGGCATAATTCTAATTTTTTTCTTGTCCGCACAAACTAGCGTTAGCTTTTATGATCGAAAATATCACCCGACCCCCTTCTGGCACAAACCAGCCTTAGCTTTTTGTATTACAATTTTTTCATGAGCAATACTGCGAAATGTTTATCGATAATCAATTATTACTCGTATTATTTTTTTCAAAATGGCATTACAAAAATTATAAATTTTCCAATAGTTCTGGATAGATTTTTTCCTAAAATAACAATTCAAAAGTTATGAAAATGACACAACAATTTTTTCTCCAAAACGGCAGCAACAATTTTTATAACTCACGACAACTTTTTTGTATTACCATTTCTTTCTCGATCAATATTCCGATTTATTTTTTGATAATTCACTACTATATTTTCCACAAAACAGAAACACAATTTTGTGAATCATTTTATTTTTATAAAAAGTTAAACAAATCTCAAATAAGAGTGTACAATTATATTTTTTAAAATATATATTTAAAATTAAAAATTTTAAAAAACAAATATGTGAATTTATCTAAAATAATCTCATCTTTCATTTATTTGCAAAAATAGATCTTTATTAAAACATTCGTTAAGTGACCGCTAGCTTCCTAATGATGATCAAAAACTTGCGCACATATGGAAAAGTAGTGAAAAGTGAGATTATTATTAGAAAAGTACAAAAAATTGAATTTTTTCAGATACTATTCCTAGTTTTTCTTAAAAAAAAGTAAGTATATGTGAAAGATTAGGAAAAGATAGATTATTTTAGATAGTTTTTTCAGGACGAAGTGCGCTAGTGAGAGGGAGAGCAGTATTTTGGGTAATTGTAGCGATATAATGCGTGGGGCTTTTCCTTCTGTGCCATTTCAGATTTGAGTGTTTTGAAACACTCCACATGTGGTCCAGTAAGAAATAGACATGTGAAAACAATATTCCACATCAAATTATTCTTTTTTATTACAATTGGCCCCAAACCTAAATTGAATTATGTTTCTTTCCTTCATGGCAATCTCCCGTTAACTTGTTTTTACAGAGAGCCGTCTCCATCTCCAGGCCAGCGTCTCCAATTCGTGAACCAGTCTCCGCCGCCTTCATCATTCAGAGTCGAAGAAATAGCAGCGCCTTGCCCCTTCCATCAATTTTCCGCTCAGGTTCCCTTCATTCAATTTTTCATCTATTAATTGCAATTCTTTTTTGAGACTTGCGAGTATTGTGTTCCAAAGTCTTGTTTTCTTGTTCCAAATAGATGCATTTCTCATTTTTAGTTTGATTTCTCATTTTTAGTTTGATTTGCCTGTTTTATATTTACCTTTCTCAAATTTATTTTGTGTTCCAAAGTCTCGTTTTCTTGTTGGAACCCAAAACTTTTGAGCGAAATTTTGTAGAGTGGATAGTCACCAAAAGGAGGGGGGCTGAGATGGGGTGAAGGGGGAGGCCGGGCGTGCTAGGGGGTTAGATGGGGCAGGAACTACTTCAACTCAGAGCCGAGTAGAGTACCGTAGAGGCCTCAAATGGATGCAATGTGAGATTGAGGCGATGAATTAGTAATGGTTCATAGTTCCTAAAGTGTGAAGGGATAACAAACCAGCTTTTTTGCAAGTAGCTGCTTCTTTTGATTGCAATACCTTTTTTAGCTGTTTAGAAACCACAAGAGCCTCTTCCATCTTTTGCTGCAAAACCTGAGATAAAAGTAAAGAAATTCCTTAAGCTTCTCTGTGGAGGAAAGTTTCATAGGATGATGAAATGTTTATCTTATACTTATAGAGACATTGAAAACGTACATGCTTCTGCCTCTGGTTCAAAGCCAAAAGCACAAAAAGCACATGCATCTTATACTCATTTCTCCTTTGCTCTTTTTTAAGTTGTTGAAAAGTACAATATGACTTTGATTTTAGTACAACATGGCAAAAGGTAAATATAAAACAGGCAGTAGCACACATTAAAACTTTGAGAAGCTTGGCACTTTATGTGGCGTGAAGGCATTAAGGCACTTTATAAAGCTTTTGATTTTTTTTTCTATTTGGGTTTCACATAAGTATGTGTACCCACGGATTGGAGAAATTTTTTATGGGCATATGTAGAAATTCAGCAATAATAATGGTAATGCATAATGGTCAAACTAAGGCGTGAAAGGATAAATTCTGTTTTTATCAATGTGAGATGCTTTCTTGCAAGTGTGATGAAAATGGGAAGACGCTCCTCTATATTTTTGGTACAACTGATATGGCATAAGATTTTTTTTTGGTGTGGGGGGGGGATTTAAGATGCTTTTAGTTGTGATAAAACTAGACATTTGGTGGGGGCCAATTGTAATAAAAAAGAATAATTTGATGTGGAATATTGTTTCTACATGTCTATTTCTTACTGGACCACATGTGGAGTGTTTCAAAACACAAATCTGAAATGGCACCGAAGGAAAAGCCACCATATGCTGGTTGGGGTTCCCTTCTTTTTGGTCATCCTAGACACTCTTGCACTGGCAGGATCAAATGTGGCCAGGTTAGATGAAGTTAAAGACATTATTACTATTACACAAATCCCCTCTTTAATAATATAGTGAGGTTCTGCGAACAGCCACCTCGGATGTCATAATATGACACTTGATCAATTGGAGCGGGCAGAGGGAGATGAAGAGCTGGAAAATTCTAGGGAATAGAGACAACTAAAGGGCGTAATTGAGCATTGTAAGACCTCGCACGTGTCAAAATTTTAACTCCACCTTAGTCATTTTTTGAATCAAGTCTTTTTACATCTGCAGGGCTTACAGAAAAGAACAACGGGCGCATCCTTCTCACAATCCTTTTCTCCCTTTATCAAAGCACACACAGGAAGGCGTCATATTTCAACTACAACATAGATATTGGATGGATAAGAACAAACATATTAGCTGCATTCAATTTGGTGTTTTTACACTTGCATACATATATACATACTTATGAAAGAAACATTAAACAGAGCCTCTTCAAATTCTCAGTCTATTCATTCTGCACTGGTTGAATAATAACGTTTTTGGTTTGTGAATGCTCAGTCTTATATCATACCATGTCCCAAACACAACTTTTCCCTTTAGCCACCAGATATTTAGTGTTCTGTTGTGATTTGAGTGATTTACTCATGTGCAATCAATGTTTTCTTTCACGGAAAATATGGGCAGGTCAAAAACTAAAAACTGGCAGAAAAGGCTAGTATCGCGTCAATAATATATGCCCAAGTATCTACCTGGTGAAAACATTGCTATTAAAACAAGTGAAGGAACACAATGAGAGCATGAATATTCACGGCTTAAAACGTTACTCCATACATGTAAATGATGAGTCTTTCTATAGGTAACATTGATTAAAAATTTACAGTACAATAACTCACAATATGAAGTGGGCAGTTAAGAGGCTTTGCAATAAAAACATTAAAATTTCTTTTTGCAAAAAAAAGGGTATACATCTGATGGTCTCAATCCTCAACTTAGTTTCTTATATTTTTCTACTATCGAACAAAACAAAGCTTGCAGTGTGTCAAACACGTCTAGTAGAGTGGCCGCTACCGTCTCCAAGTTGTCTTCATCCAAAATGAGAGGTTCTAGCTGTTGGAATCAACGGCGCGTCTTCATCAGGCATTGAATCTTGGGATCCGTTTCTTATTCCACTGCTGCTAATAACATCATCTGGTATGAACGAATTAGACAACTTCTCCATCTTAAGGTCTTGTGGGTAGAAAACAATGAACTTCTTATTAACCCGTTAGGGTAAATTGATGATGATGATGATTATAATAATGATGATGAAGATGATGATAATAATAATAATAATAATAATAATAATAATAATAATAATAATAATAATAATAATAATAATAATAATAAGAACAACACAAAGCAGGGTTCAGAGTTCATTTGTACCACCTTTAGAGTTTGGTCCACAACTTGCAGCCAAATGCTCTTGTGTCTTGAAACAATTTCTACCTTGTTTGGACTGATAATTCAAGCAAGTTCTGTTTGAGAGCTTTGCTAAGGGAGCATGTGGGGCATCCAACTAATTTTCTATGAGATTCTTTTCGGAGCCAGTCAGCATTGATGTTGTCTTAAGACTCTTCCTACTGCCTGTGTTAACCCTTGGTGAAACAATAAGTGTTGGAGACAGAATATCACATGGAACTATACTGAGATTATGCAAAGCTGAATCCTCGTTCAAACAATTTGGAGACTTCTCAGGAGTTTTTCCTGTATCCATATATTCATGAGAAATTTCATCAGTAACTGCATTCCGTGTTCCCACATTTCCTGTATTAAGCTCAAGCTCCCGTCTTTCAGCTTCTTCAACAATTTCCATCAGTGTATCACCATCATCATCCCACAGCTACAACAATGTAGAATCAGTCAGGAACTTATTATTTATTCTTTGACAATGTTTTTTCCAGAAGCGGCCGGCTTGAAATTGTATATAACCATTATGAAACAACTGGAACTACAATGGACTAAAGTCAGGACACAAAGATGGAAAGACATACAGTTAGGCTATAGCACAAATGGAAGTAAAATGTGCATAAATTGTTGTTCCCATTGCTAGATTTTTCTTTTTATATAAACAAGTCATGGATTCTGACTCATTGAAACAAGACAAAGATGGTATGAATGACGCCAAATGAAATAACGAGAACATCTTTTTAAGGATCTTCCTAGTTCTTGGGTCAATGAAGAGTTAGTTATTTAAACCAAATAAGGTCCTGCCAATTGAATGGAACATTCTAAGAATGGATCATACCTTCACAGTATTGTCTTCTCCGCCCGATACAACCCACCTGCCATCTGGTGTGAACCTGATGGCATTAATGCCTCTAGTGTGACCCTTGTATGTGTGGATGCAACCTTTTCTTCTGATATCCCATATCTTGAGATTTGTGTCTAGAACCAGATGCAAAGAATTCTCCAAAGGGATGGAAGTCCAGGGATATACAATTGGAGCAATGTCCAGTGAGAGTTCGGACAACTAAAGTGAAGAGAAAGAAAATCAATTAATAAAAAGCAGATATTGAATGGTAGACCAAAGTTAAAAATTGACATAATTCCTACGAGATTGGAGCAAGCATACTATTGGCCTCCTCTAAATCCCAAAGCTTGATAGTGCCACTTGCTGCTCCAGCAGCTACCAAAATTTCAGATGAATCAAAGTTAACTGAATCGATCCCGCTTGAATGGCCTGACAGACTCTACACATAATAGAGGAACAAGGCCAATATGAACAATGCATTGCCAATGGATAATTGAATTAATGTGCGGGTTCCAAAGCGAATATAATCATCAAGTTAGAATCCAGCAGAATTGCTGCAACACAAAAACATGACCGAAACAAAACTAGAGGAACAAAAACACACTTTTAGAGCTTGTTTCGCAATATTCAAAATGGCCGAAGTGACTGAGTTTGCTGAAATTCTGGGTGATATAAGTAAATTGGGTAAACTTGAAGGGTCAACTTAAAAACTAAGAAACAATGCTTAGTTAATTAATTTAAAAATGGGCTCATTTGGTTCATAGTGTTCGGCTGATTCTGATTGTCAAAATTGTCTACAATCAGCTAGTGTTTAGTTTGTTTCACATTCTAGCTAGAATGAGTTGAGGATTCAATTCACAAGAATCTGATTGTCAGAAGCAACAAATTGTCTAATCCATAATACCACAAGATTAATCCACTTGCACGTTTTTTTACCAAACTCAAGATTAATATTTCACAAAAACAAAAAAAAATCAAGTACAAACATATCTCAAAACTACACAGATGAGCTCACATAGACTTTCAAAATAAGAATTCATGGTTAAATCAAACTAAAAATGAGAAATACACCTATTTGGAACAAGAAAATGAGACTTTGGAACACAATACTCGCAAGTCTAAAAAAGAATTGCAATTAATAGATGAAAAATTGAAGGAAGGGAACCTGAGCGGAAAATTGATGGAAGGGGCAAGGCGCTGCTATTTCTTCGACTCTGAATGATGAAGGCGGCGGCGACTGGTTCACGAATTGGAGACGCTGGCCTGGAGATGGAGACGGCTCTCTGTAAAAACAAGTTAACGGGAGATTGCCGTGAAGGAAAGAAACATAATTCAATTTAGGTTTGAGGCCAATTGTAATAAAAAAGAATAATTTGATGTGAAATATTGTTTCCACATGTCTATTTCTTACTGGATTTTTTCAAAACACTCAAATCCTAAGTAAAAGCCAATGCGTGGTAAAAAAATGGGGAGAGGGGAACGGAAGAACGAAACCAGATGACCACCATGCCTAGCTGCAGTTCATCGTCCTCGGTTCATCAATTTTCAAAGCCAAATGATCTCCTCCAGTTTCAGACGTTGAATGGCCTTCACCATCTTGCTGAAACCGGAAGATTCAAGGTACGCTAAATTGCATCCCATATGTTTATTCTTTCAATTTCTCTTTATTCGATCTTTGTTATCTGCTCAAATTATGAATTCCCTATTGCAATCTTTGCGATTTACCTACTGCTTGAGCTTCTAAGTTGTATTAATTCGTGCGGTAGTAGCGGTTACTTTTAATTGGTCCTGTTCAAGCTCTCAAAAATCCATTCCTTACTTGAAAACTAAAACTTGTGTTACCAAGTGTTAGAAACGAACCCTCAATCCTTTTCAACGCTCTAATATTAAATGTTTTGAAAGGAACCCTCCCGAGCAGGGAGAGCCTATATTATACATCCGGGTATACCGATAGGCTATAGCTAGGTACACCTAACAAATGTTCATTTTAAATCAACGTAGTGCTTGAAGTGATGTAGTGTTCATTTTTACACATTTGTTCATTACGTTTATAATATTAATTTACGAATAACGTAGTGTTCATTCTGAAACAATGTGGTGTTCATTTCAAGCCTGCTTAACGTAGTGTTCATTCTCAAACAATGCAGTGTTCATTCTAAAATAATGTAGTGTTCATTCTGAAACAACATAGTTTTAATTACAAGTTTGTCATGATGCATGGTACATCCGGTTGTACCATACAATAACACCCAAACAGGTAACAAAGCCAAATTGGACTTAAAGCTTATACATAGGGTTTATTGCGCAAGAAAATGAAATGAAAGACATACTTAACATGATCAGACAGTGTAGAACATAAGTATTTTTGAAGCCAATTAGTTAGCTAGATATTTTTGTTGCTAGCTGTCCTTTCTGTTAGGGTAGTTAGCACTTTTTTGCTCCTTTTTTTCCCAGTTTGTTTGATCTGTATGTATAGGACACCTGGCTTGTATTGAACGCATCTTTTGGGGAATTTCGTTTTCAGTAAAAATCAGTTCTCTAGCCACGGGATTGGTAAAACGAATTTGCTGCATTACACAGAACCAAGTTTGCTCCTAGGGCCATTCCCGGTGTGTTTTTAGGCTATCCTTTCAATAAAAAAGCCTGCAAATTGCTTAATCTTCTAACTAAACAAGTCTTCTACAGTAGGGATGTGAAATTCCATGAGCATCACTACCCTTTCCACCACATATCTCACCATCGTCCATTATCTTGCCAAATCCACCTTCTGACCTTTCTAGTATTTTTCTCTCTTCGCCTGTTCACCCTTCTTCCAGTATTCCCACTCATATCCCTCAAACGCCTGTTCAGGTAAGAATATCCTTTTTGCAAGAAAATGAGAATGGGTGCATTTTTGGACCTTCATGATGCATTTTACACTTGTGGTAGTGCATTTTCGGGAAGTTTGATTTATTTACAAAATTGTAACCGCAAGTTTTTTTCAATTTTTTTGGAATTTTTGATTTTTAATAGCCCTTAGATTTTAAATCTAATGGATATGCATTCTCATTTCTTTCACTGTGCATCATTCTCATTTGAACCAAAGTCTATACACACACACACACACATGAATTCGGTATTCTGTATATAGAATAGACTAAAATATCAATATCCTGTCTGTTTCTCTTACATTCTTGGGGTTAGGCTGTCACCTAATGTAACATTCTCTTCTTCCCCTCGAATGGCCTGAATTCTGGAATTCGGAAATTAGTAGAGTGGCCAAATGTCACAGCCTTTCAAGGTTATAGTGAGATAGCCATTCTCAAGGTCATATCATCCAACTTGAAACATTCCTTCACATATTGGATACCTTTTCTGTTCCCTTACATTTTGCACTGTTTTCTTCCCTCGCAGATGTCCCTCTAAGGCTTCATTTAGTGGAATCATATTCTTCACTCTTAGGAAACACAGCCTGTATATGTAACATCATATTGGATAAGAGTAACATGGCTCAAATTTTAGAGGCAATATTATTCATTTTCCATGTGCTCGAATGTTGTTGTTCCAAAGTGTGCAGGTATGTTTAGACATAAGAGCATTCATGTAAGACCGCATCCATCTTTTACATGGAGAACATGGCACCATACAAGTATATTAAATGAGAGTGCAAGGAATCATTTAAATCTAATAGACTTGATAGAATATGCTACATTTCCAAGCAGCTGAGCTAGGTTTGTGATAATTTAGTAGCTGCTAAAAATATGTGGAATTATTGAGTGGCTTTGTTTTTTCAATTGCCAAAATTCTATAGGAAAGCACTTGTGTTTGTAGGCATGGTTTTTGGATCAATTTGGAGTTTTTCATGATGGAAAACAACCTTACCCTGGTGCCATATCAACATGTATGTTTTAGATTTCGTATTTTGAAAAGCTTAGCGTTTTTTTAGTTGTGTACTTTTGCAAATTTCATATTTCTGAGTGGGATATATTTGGCATGTGTGAAATTGTATTGCAACTTGCTTATGTTACTATCCATTTATGAGCAGTAGAAAAACTGAAAGAATGTGGTGCGAAAATGGTGGTTATCAGTAATTCTTCAAGGAGGTCATCTGTTACACTGGAAAAATTGAAGAACCTTGGGTTTGATTCATCTATCTTTGCGGGAGCAATTACAAGTGGAGAATTGACACACCAGAACCTACAAAGGTTTTCATGCAGATTTTATTGCCCTTTTCATAATGCGCAGTTTATTTTCTGATGAAGAGTTTAAGCTTATCATGTTTTTAATTGTAAAGTGGCTGCACCGTAGTGATTGAGCTGTTTGGTTTAGTGCTCATAGGTATATAGGTGTGCCTAACAGTGTGTCAACTGCCAAGTCATGAGATATCTGCCTTCCCCTAATTAAAATTTTGACATTTCAACTTTTTATTGCATGACGCGACTCTTTCAATGACCTGCATCTTTTTGTATTATGCTTACATGTATCTAAGCAACTAAAAAGTTTCTTCATGGTGTTTATATTGTGCAGGAGGGATGATTCATGGTTTGCTTTCCTCGGTAGGTCCTGCATTCATATGACTTGGAATGAAAGAGGAGCTATATCTCTTGAGGTATTGAAACTCCAATTTTTCCTCTTAAGAAATAAATTGAACTGTGACTTTTATTAGGAAACTCTTAGAGGGTATGCTAAGTACGAGCAAAGATAAGGCTATGCTTGGATTGAAGGGTTACAATTTAATAAAGGGAAGGGAAAGTATTATAGAGGAGGGGAAGAGAGAGGATGATATCACTTTTGGATCAAAGATTTTCACGCTCCTTTTCTTCCCCATCAAAGGCCTTCATGAATAGTGTTCTTCGTCTTTGCCAAGCCTTCAATTTGTTTTCTTTGAATCGATAATTCATCAATTGTTGTTTCCATCTTATTAGCCGAATGATTCCGATCCTGACTCCCAATGGAATTCTTTTATTTCGTTGAGAATTGTGGTGTTGTCTTCCTCCCTCCCTCCAAATGGCTCCAATTTGGAGGGATGCGTTTTGAAGGGAATGGAGGAACTCCCCTCCTCCTCTTGTTTCCTTCCCCATCCATTTCCTTTCAAACCAATAGTCCCAGATTTGGCGGATTATACAATATTACTCCATGATTCTCTTTTGCACGCTGCTCTTGTCCGGCTTAGTCAGCGTGGGACTTAATTATGTGGATGTATTTTACGTGATGTCATATTTGAAACAATGAGTTGATAGCATATTCAATATAATATAATTACATTGGAATCCATTTATACTTTTTTGAATTACTTGATAAAGGTTAATAAATTTTTTGAAGATGGACGATTTCACAAGGTTCAATTAGGTTTCTGTTATTCAATTATTCAAAAATGTCCAATTGGCTTCCAATTTAATTCAATTACTTTAGATTTGTTGCCAACTCAATATTTTTCGATATCATGTCAGCCAAAATAGCTCCACATAATTAATTTCAAAGTTGACTTAGCCGGGCTGGAGTACGGATGTAAAATTTGACGATTTCTCAGAGTATTGACGTGCTAAATAGAATCAGAGAGTAATATTATATAATCAGCCAAATCTAGGAGGATAGTTGTGAATTTTTCCTTTAATTAGTTATATTAATATGCAAATCTGGTACAAATAATCCCACATTTGAGTGGTCAAACCAAATTATACCCAAGATGCACCTGTGACATAAATAATCTCAAATTGTAATGTGGTTCACATCAATAGGCCCAGCCGCAATTCTGTTATAACTCCGTCAATTTTCGTTTTATTTTTCCCAAATTGGTGAAAAATTGTATCTTAACCATTACCTTTGACTTTGGGTTCTGATTGATTTAAAATAGCATTTTTTCTTCAATTTCTTGGAGTATTTACATGAAGTTTTCAAAATATTAGTTTTATACTCGTTCTGTCCTAAACTTTATTTTCTCCACTTTCCTTTTTGGATTGCCCCAAAAATTTATCTTATTACCTTTTGGGGGAAAGCTTAGTTTGTTCCAAATGATTTTTCTCACTTCTAAAATATAATTCAACCAAAGTCACACAATTTTCTCCTGATATGCATGCCAAGTCAACTTGATAATTTAAATTTAGGATTTGGGAGGGGGTGGAGGAGGTATAATAGTTTTATCAGTAAATTTTCTAACGACATTTTAATCCCTCAAATATGATACCTGAGTCAGAAGTTATGATTGAAATACATTTTTTTAAAAATATTTTTGGCTGAAAATAACAGAATCTAATGGAAATAGATGGAGTTATAATGGAGTTCAATCTGGGATAGTGGTGTGAACCACATTACAACCTGGGATTACTTATGTTAGAAGCATTCTGGGATTATATTTGTTTGATTGCTCAAACGTGGGGGATCATCTCTATCAGTTTTGCCTAGAAAATATAAATTTCTTTTTTGCCCGGATGCCACATTCCAAAAATATTCTCTGATTGAGAGGTGCTTTTCATGGAAATTTATTTTATTTGAAATAGAAATCGTAATGGGAATTGGAATAATTCTAGGATTGAAACTCTTGTCCTACTGTTTATTATGTTTTTGTTGAGAGCTTTAGTTTGATGTGGTAATTATAAATTTCTCGGTCATTGAAAGAGTCATATTAGTTATGCGAGTATATTTGTGGCTTAAGATCGGAGTTTGTGTTTGTGGCTTTAGATTTGGATCTTCAATAGTATTGTACTCCCTCCGTCCCAAATTAAGTTGTCTGTATACTATTCACAGGGTCAAACTTAATTCACTTTCTTTTTTTACTTTTCGTTACTCATTTGATAAAATAATATAGTCATGTCATTCCTTGTTTTGTAGAACTTTTGATTTGGTTTATAATTTGTAAAATTTATTTGTTAATTTTGCTCCAATTCTCTTATAAATTGCATTGAAAATAAATTCAATCAAACATCGTAAACCAAAATAGGCAATTCAAATTAGGACAGAGGGAGTAATGGCTTTTCTTTTGTACTTTTATCGTGTATTTACTTCTAAAATATTATATTTACATTTTTATTAAATTTTTAGTTCTTTTGCCATATCCTTGTTGTGCTAAAAGAGTAATTATTGTCAATGTTTTAGCTTGAGGCAAATAATGGACTAAATCAAAACGGCAAATTAAACTTTCCATTCTTCTTACTATGATGTTTCAGGTAGTAAATGTAGCAATGCATCCAGGGTCTAACCGAAACAACCTCTCTTATGATTTCGTCTTCGGTTTTTGGATTGTATCTTATTATTCATCGGAATCATATTTATAGGTTAACTCTTTACTTTTCTGGTTTTCATTTTTCAGTGGAATGCATCCAAAATTGCACTTTCCTCATTTCTTACATTCTAGGAAGTTTTGGGAAGTAAATGTAGTAATGCATCAACTATCAACTATTCCTTTAGAGTTAAGAGTGGTGTGATTGAATACATCAATGACCCCCTCCCCTCCCTCCCATGGTCCCACCCAAGTACAAAATAAGTTAATTCAAAACACAAAAAATAAGGCTAAAATTTGCAAAACATGTGCGCACACACACACACTTATATATCTAGAGCACACTTAAAAAGTTCTGGCTGCCTTCGAGTCTTCCATAGATTATGTAATATTGTAAACTGTGATTATGTCTAAGATTTGTTTATTACTAAATTTTTTGGATGCCTTTTTTACTAAAGGGCCTAGGGTTACAAGTCGTGGAAGATGTTCATGAAGCTAGTTTTATTCTAGCTCATGGGACTGAGGCCATAGGGCTTTGCTCTGGAGCTACACTTCCAATGAAGCTTGAAGGTCTTGAAAAAATACTAGAGGAGTGTGCTGCTAGAAAAATTCCTATGGTGGTGGCAAATCCTGACTTTGTGACAGTTGAGGCAAGGGTTCTACATGATATGCCTGGTAATTGGAAAACATGTTACTAGTGGAGCAATTTACTTCTGTGCTTATGAATGAGTATGATTCATTTGCGGCATCTTATATAAGAAGTCTGTCATTGCTTTCATTACCTAGTTTGTATTCCATCATTTGATTCTTTAGCTTCCCTATTTCAGGAAAGCTAGCAGCCAAATATGAAGAACTTGGTGGGGAAGTTAAGTGGATGGGCAAGCCTAATAAGGTGATTACCTCAATGCAAGTCCTCCACCTTTAATTATTTGGAAATCATATAGTTACAAATAACAGCCATTAGAGCAATTTCAAAAAAAAAAACCATTAAAACACCATGAATTTTGACTTTGTTTTTGCCAATAATTCTGCAGCTCATATTCATTTTGTTGAAATTTTTTACAGCTTTATAAAAGTTTCACAGCACATGGTTTAGTAATTCACTGTCTTAGAAAGCAGTCACATGTTTTAGGACAACTTTATTTTCTTATAAATAGGACATCCGTAGCCATTCATTATACATGATGTTTTGTACTTGTTCATTACTCTTTTCCAAGGTTGAATGAATGATGTTCTTTAACCCTTATTGAGGAAGTCGGTATTGGTTTTTTATTTTTTGATAACATATTAATCTACACTCATAGTTTCGAAAGGCGCTCGCTTCCCTCACCTAAGGCGCCTGAGGCGCTGAAGCAACAGGTTTCAGTCTGATTTAACCCAATCGAGGCTACATCCTTGAGGGGTTCCTGGGCTTGTGCCTCTAACGCCTTATTCCTTCGCCTGAGGTGTGCGACTCTGTCGTCTTCTTCAGTATCCTATGGGTGGTTTCCAGTTGCAGCAGTTTGGCGTCTCCGGTTTTCATCTTTCTTTGGGTTTGATTCTTTTTTAGCTATGCCTTGGCGCAAGTGCTTCAGCATATAGGGCCATAAGGGATGACTTTTCAGCAGTTTAGTTTGAAAGTTTTCGCTTGGAGGTCATGAGCAGTCAGTGCTGTTTAGGCATTCTCACAGGATTGTGGCTGTTTTCTTGTCATTAGATTTAAGGGTCTTAGTGCGGACATTGACACAGGAGTTGTAGATGGGATTCATTTTAGCTTCTTCTGTATGGGACACACACACACATAGTTTGGAGCACTTGGTTTTGTCATTTAATGCCTCACACATAGGATTGCATACTTTATTTTCTCATATGTAGGATGTTTTCTAATTGTTCATTACTCAATAAAAGAACATGTTTTTCAGCTCTTCCTGTACTTGATTCCCTTACCTTTGCCTTCTGCTCCCACATCACATTGGAGACTACATCTCTCCACACTCTTGGCCCTCACTCTCTTTCTTTACATGTTGGAGAGGCACAAGCATTCTAAAGCTATCTCTCCTTTTATAGCACAATACGCTCTAAGTCTTTCTCTGCCATGCATAGGATGAAAACATTAATTTGCCACCTTTCTCTTTTTAGCTGCCAATCAACAATATAATCAAGCCGCCACAATCCATACATATCCTACTTTACATTAGTTTTCTTCACCTAGCCGAAATGCTTCACTTTCCTTTTTTTTTCTTTGATTTATTTCATCTTCTCTTCACTCCAAAAATAAAATAAAGTTCAACATAATTCATATTTGGTAAATAGGGATTAGGGAGATATCCCAACAAATTCCTCCCTTGACCTAATTTACTGCAGTTCTCGTAGAATAAAACTCTATCTTGGAGGAAGTCTGGCGGGTGGCTAGACCGAAATGTCTAATATTCCACACATGTATGTGTACATATTTGGCATGCCATAGTAAAAACTAATTGCCTAAGCATCTTTGTTTGGTCTTGTGATATTTTTCATAATAGATTATATACAACACGGCTATGGCGATGGTTGGTGTAGAAGCCTCTGAGTGTATTGCTGTGGGAGACTCGCTTCACCATGATATTAAAGGTGCAAATTCAGCAGGAATCTCTTCTGTATTTATTACTGGTGGGATCCATGCTACTGAACTTGGACTTGATGGTTTTGGAGAAGTTGCAGATAGTACGTCTGTTCGTGATCTTGCTTTAAAATATGATGGATTTCCAACGTATGTTCTTCCTTCTTTTACTTGGTAAGTGATGTACTGCTCCAACATGATGAAGTCTNCCCCCTCTCTCTCTCTCTCTCTCTCTCTCTCTCTCTCTCTCTCTCCTTTTACGTGCACCTCCATTTGCCTTTTCACAATGCAATCGATGTTTGAATTTGCCAATTGCCTGAACAATGAAACATTGGAACACCATCAACCTCTCCTTTTCTGTATTCAATGTTTTTCATATCATAATTCAAAGAGAGAAAGTTATTATCTTCATTTACATGTTGTTCGTGAGAATTTGAAAATGCATGTTAATGTTATCAGTAGTGAGCTTGGTCTTTTGACTGTTCAATGCTTGACATGACCAATCCAAAGGCTCGATGGTTCTAATTGCTACCGCGGATTTTATGAAATGGATGTTGGCTGGAAATTTCAAGATGGAGCCAAAATTTTACCATTTTTTGGCTTTGGGGTGTGATGGAATAAATCAAAATGGATCTCTAAACTGTCTGCGCTTCTTTAATTAATGAAGTAGCAGTTAGTCAAGCAATGCAACTTTCGACGTTGAGCCGGGAGTCTCTTTGGAAACAGCCTCTCTACATTCGAGTAGGGGCAAGGTCTGCGTACACACACCCTCCTCAGACCCTACTCTTATGGGATTTAACTGGGTTGTTGTTGATGTTCGCTGGAAATGTCAACCATTAAATCAGCATGTGGCACTGTGTTGGTATCAACGAAAATTAATGGTTGGTTTGTGTGCTGGTAATGGACCTTTAGTTTCAAGATTCACTTTAAAATTGTATGCTTTTCATATTTAAGGCATGTTTGGTTTTTGGCTTGGATTTTCTTGACTTGTTCGTCTTCTTCCCCAAAGAAATCGGCCTCACATTGAAATTGTGGACTCCTCAAAAAAAACAATGGACTATTCTAATAAAAAATTAAAATAGAAAAACGAATTGAAATACCTAAAATTTCTTTTCTTTTTAAATTTAGTAAATTCTATAAATGCTCCCTAATTGTATGGAATTTTTTTATATTTATCCTCTAAATTTTAGATATTGCATAAATGAACTCCAATTTTTGAAAACTGTTTTATAAATAATCCTTTAGGCTAAATATCAAAATATTTTTTCTCACAAATAGTCTCTAAAAGACCGTTCATGAAATTTTTTTAAGAATTGATGACTATTTATTTTATACTCCGTATCTAAGAATTAAAGACTAAATATGGAAATCACCTATAATTAGAGAACATTTATGGAATTTACTCTTTTAAATTGCTCGCCAAACCTGTAACACCTTAATCCGTCCAGGTCTACAATTCTTTTCGGACTAAAGTATAAACTTGGTATTCGAAAACATTCAAAATATTTCAAATATTTTAAAACTTTATTTCATAATAAATTATTTGGAATAATAACGGAGTATTTAAAGTTGTGGAAACTCAATAAATCACAATTACAAATATAATAAATTTATGTCTTTTAAAACAGTAATTCAAATCCACACATCCATCACGACCAACTCGCCCCATCTGCCTCGAGGAAATCGTTACTTCATTCTTTTTGTTTACCTACGTGTAGCAAATAAAACATACTACACGCTCAGCGGTGAAGCTCAGTAAGCATATCTAATGCGCCGAACATCCATATAAAATAGATCTCAATCCATAATCAAATCATTTGATATCATGCACATAATGTTCAGTTCAAACATTCAATAATCAATATTCACCATTCATATTTATATTCAACATTCATCAATAATATTCTCAGAGGCGGACCCACCTTGAGTCCCATGGGGTCCCGGGACCCCACGGACCCCGGTGTAGGTCCATATAGGTATTAGCTATGTATTAATATTAATATATAAAAAACGCTTGTCACTTAGTAAATAGAAGCGCGTTTGGTTCAGTAGAAGTTCGCTTTATCGCTACTCCCCTGGGACGGAGGTTTGAGTCCCAACCCTAGATTTTTTGGAGACAATTTCTCAGTCAACTTTTTCTTTATAAGCATCAAAAATCGAACGACGTCGTTTTGCTCTCCCCCTTTTCTCAATAAATTTCTCCTCTCTTCCCCAATTCTTTATTTTACAGTTTTTATTTTGGAACCCTAAAGCTCCCAATCTGCCGTTCTGCTGCCTAGCCCACGCGACACGCGAGACTGTGACTTGCCGACCGCCGAAGCACCGACCACCCGCCAGGCCGCCAGCGACGGGTGACCGCCGCGACCTGCATCATCTTCTTCCCGTCTCTGGTCTCCGTCACTCCCGCGGTAAGGTAAAAACTTTTCTTTATTTTACTAAATTTAATTTTTATCATTTTATGGTAGTTTGAATTTTGTAGTTTGATATATGAATATATGATTAGTATTTAGTAAATATTATTGTATTAATGTTCATTTTATGTCTAATTTATAGAATTCAAAATGTAAAGGTACTTCAAAAAAGTAGTCAAATTTAAAGATTCGGAGTCGAGTGGAATTGGTAACAATGTTACCGCTCCGGTGCCTCAAGTAAATACTCCATCTTTAGTTATTCAATAAAATAGTCAATCTACTCGTATTCAAGAAGGCACTCAAGTGACTCAACCTACACATGTTCGGGAAAGCACTCAATGCACTTTTATTGAGAGAAACTTTGATTTTGAGTCTTTGGAAGCTGGCTTGGATTAAGAAAAAAAATTTATGACTTTCATCCAAACGTCCAAGATGAGGTACGTCGTAGTTATCTTCAAAAAGGACCCTTTCAACCCAAAAGTCATGATTTCCCATATAAGATGATAGGACATAAGAAGCGTAAATTTCTTACTTCTTGGTATGTCAAAAATGACTAGTTGGAGTATAGTATTGCAAAGGATGTTGTATTTTGTTTTCCTTGTTACTTGTTCAAAAATGAATGGGAATTGGGTGGTGATCATTTTGTTGGGAAAGGATTTAGTACTTGGAATAAGAAAAAAAGGTTAGACGTTCATGTTGGGGGACCTAATAGTCCTCATTACAATTGTGTGAAAAAATGTGAGGACTTGATGAATCAGGATCAAAGTATTACATCCGCTCTAGTTAAGCAATCTCAACAAGTGAAAAATGATTATGTTTTTCGGTTGACGACATCCCTTCAAGTCACTAGATTTCTTCTTAGTGGGGGACTTTCATTCCGGGGGCATGATGAATCAATTGAGTCTTCATATAAAGGTCATTTTCTTGAAACTCTACAACTATTGAGGATGCGTGACTCTGAATTGGATAAATCAATAAAAAATGCTCCACTAAATAATCAGATGATTTCACCGACAATTCAAAAAGATTTGTGTTATGCATGTGCATTTGAAACCGTTCAAGAAATTGTTAGAAAACTTGGAGATGGCCTTTTTGCTATATTAGTTGATGAATCTGGTGATATTGCTAGTAAAGAGCAAATGGCTATTTTTTTGCATTTTGTTGATGACACGGGTTCTGTTCTAGAACACTTTTTAGGCATTGTTCATGTCAAAGAAACTACTGCATTGTCTCTCAAAAAAGCACTTGAGTGTACATTATCCCAATATGGGTTATGTATATCAAATATAAGGGGACAGGGCTATGATGGAGCAAGTAATATGCGTGGAAGGCTTGGTGGGTTGAAAACATTAATTCAAAATGAAAATCCATATGCTTACTATGTTCATTGTCTTGCTCATCAACTTCAGTTGTCTCTTGTTGCATCTTTGAAAGGACTTGTTGAAGTTAATTGGTTACTTCTCCATGTTGGGCGTGTTATTAATGAAATTGCTTCATCTAATAAACGACAAGATATCCTCCGAGAGAAGCAAGCAGCTAATTTAGCAAGTGCTTTATCAGAAGGATTATTGAAAAAAGGTCGGGGCTTAAATCAGCAATTAACTTTGGTAAGACCGGGTGACACTCGTTAGGGTTCACATTACAAAACACTTTTGAATTTCCAAAATTTGTTTCCATCTGTTATTGATGTACTTGAGCATTTGCAAATTCATGATAGAAGTGGAGAAGCTAAGTCATTATTAACAGAGTTGCAAACTTTTGAATTTTTTTTCATGCTTCATGTAATGGTTGTGTAACGCCCCGAAACATACCCTAGAATTATTATTAAATAATTATTCGATTAAACAAATTTGTTTTGATTATTATTGAGCTTTGGGCCGATATGAAATATTTTTTTTATATATCCAATATCAAAATCTGGATAAGTCTAATCGAGATAAATCCAATATGTGGACTATTTGTGTGGTCTTGATTGGGAACCTGAGTACAGACCCAAATCAAGAATAAATAAATTAATTAATTATGATGTGAACTTTGTAATGATTTATTGAAATAAATCATGAGAATAATTGATATGAATTAAATGAGAGAACCTTTTATGAGAAAGGTCAATTAAACCAATTTTGACTCTGTTAAAGTCAAACACCCAAAAATATGATGTCGGAGAAAGTATTACAAATAATTATGAAAAGTATATCGTTGGATAGAGCTCGTCTGTCTGATCGCAACGGTTCAATCGGATTTCAATTTGGAGAAAGTTGGACCAGAAAGTGTACCCCAATTGGGACCAGAAATTAGTCCCAATCAGGGACTACACTCCAATCGGCGCTCACTGTACAAACGGCGCACTATCCGATTTTGGTGACTCAGGAATATTTCATCCATGTCTTCTTCTCCTTCCTTCCTCTATTTAAGAAATC